GAAATATTAAAATCTGGTCTGCTCCTGTTTCTGGAATCAAACCATTTAGGTTATTTAACTCTCCTAGCACTAATTGAGCCCCCTGCTGCTTCTGCAGCTGTATCCTGATACTGCAGTGCTGCTAAAGACGCCTTTCCCTCAGTGTTGCCCCATTCTGTCAGAAAAATTCTGCTTGGCTTACTGAAGCTGCAGCATAGGGACTCGGAGCTGAGGAAATGGCACTAGGACTTCTTGGAGAGAGCATTAATCTTGACTGAACAGTTAATGTACTTGCTTTTGGCTAGCAATGTGCCATCCCGTAGGATGCCCTAGACTTGGCCAGTAGTAAGCTGGGCCAGAGCTACTCTTACTTTGAATGTTAGAACTTGAGCTAGCAATMGTTTTGCCAAATGTTTGGGGGAATAACGTTCTTGCTTAAGTGTTTGTGAGGATTGTTTATAAAAGTGACCGTTTTAAAGGGTAAGATGGACAGAAGTTAAGCAATACTGGAGAACTGGCCTTCTATGATGGGGGGAGGGCTTTCAAAATATCTTTATTGCTGCAAAAAACTCAAGGATGCCRCTGACACCGGGACTGCGGCACATGTAAAGCTGGCATGGGATCAGTAAGGGCTGAGTTTTGGGTGTTCCTGGGGGGTGAGAGAGAAGGCTGCCTCGGAGTGTGGTGGAGTTGTTGGGTCACCTGTTTTGGTGTCATTGCACCCTCGCCCACATCCTGAGCAGTTTTGGTGGAACACCCCATATTCTGCATTGCTTYCCTGTGGCGCTACCCTCCCTGCCTGCTGGTGCTGGGATCCGTGACATATTTGCCCCTCTTGGGGCTGCCCCCGCAGGGAGATGGGCGCCCCTGGCCTTGGCCTCCAGCAAGGCCCTGTGCGGTGGCCGCTGCTGAGGCGGCACCGGCTGGGCTGTGTCATGGCCGCAACCCCGGCACCTGAGGCCTCTGCCGCTGCCGTGAGCCTTGGGAGGCTGAGTTTCTCACTGGGAAAGAGCCACCTGCCCAGCATCGCTGCTGCATGGGGCAGTCGGACCAGGGCACGTCCCTAGGCCTTCCCTAACCACCGATATCCTGTGATTTCATGGCGGCTTCCTGTGCGATGCGGGGGAGCCATCAGTACTCGGGCAACCAGCCCCTCTGGCCTTGAACCTGCCGAGAGGAGGTGCGTTGGGGACGTGAACCCGTGGCCAGGACACGATTTGCGTTAGTGCTCCCTGGAGCTGCGCGGGGTGCTCAAGGTTAGCTCCCAGGGTGGAATCCTCTGGCTGTTGGAGGTASTCCCTGGGTTTCCTCCAGTGTGTTAGCTTCCTCCCCTTTAAAAAAAAAATAAAGAAGTGATCATACGTGCTTTGGCAGACTTGGAGAGAAGCACGCAGAACTGAAGTGCATGATGTGCAAAAATGAAGTACAAAAGTTCAAGCCAGCATGACACCATTCCTTTATTTTTTTCCCTCACGTTCCCTGGGCTATGTGCCTGACTGCTTAACTCTGTGCTGCACTGACACTGGGCTGAACAAACGGTGAGGAACAGATGATGTGATGTCAGAGAAAAACAAGACGTAAAGCAGCTCTCAGACCCCTGTTTTAATTGCACAAAAATTAGCTGTGTGGAATGTTTAGGCAACATGTTAGCCACTAAAACCCACCTAACCAGCTCTTGTCTGCGTGAACTGCCTTAAAATATTTACTGTGCTGAGTTGTGTAGTAAAGGCGCATGTTGCAAGAGTCTTTAGTGATGAATGTTTGATCATCCCACAATCATCAGAGTCTAACAAGACCTGGAAGAGATAGACTGATGATTCTGGGGCATTTGTTACTACTGCGTGTAATTTAAAATGATTGGCAAATAGGGGATAGCTTTGGCTAATACTGCCCCCAATATGTTTCCAATTCTGAGCATAATTCAGCTTAAAGTGCAACATGCCATTTTTTCCTAACAACAGATGAAATGCTGTCTTAGTAGTTCAGTTTAAACGTGCAATTCTAGAAGCATAACTTCCCTTTTAGAGGTTTTATAAATGTCATGAGGAAAGCAAATGTATAGCTGCTTCAGTTGAAGAAGGCTTCTGGAGTTTGCTTTTTATCCCTTAGGGACAAGTAAAATAATTCAAAAGAATAGGTGATATGTATTTGATAGGAAAAGGCACAGTTTACAAAATAGAAATCATCAACAAATAGAGGTGTAGAAAAAAACAATTTTTTATTTATGATACAGTGAGGATGGAATGTAATTACAAAAGCCAGTAGACACCAGAAGCGGGAGAGAGGTAACTGCTCAAAAAGATACCACCATTTTTTAAAGTCTCTTCAAGTTCAATTTTAAGTGTTCAGGTATATAACCTGACTACTTGAATAAGGAAGTGAACGAGTGGTTTGAAGTTGATTATTTTCCCTCTCTGGCAGCAGTGACAGGCAACTTTCCTTCTGTTCATCGAAGGAAAGAGCAGCTTTTCTGGCCATTTAACCTGGCATGCAGTAGCGTGGTGCTCTATAGGAAAAGATGGTGTTGAGCAGATCCCTGCTTCCTTCCCGCTGGATCCTACTGCCACTGTCCCCAGCCACCAGGACTGCGTGCCCTCAGTGCGGGCAGCTGGCAGGCCTGAAGGGTCTGGGTGGGAAGATAATGTGGCATTGAGCAATACACCCTCCTGGAAAACTTGCCCTCTGTGCGATCGCTGTTTTGGTATTGCACAGTTAAAACCTGTTCTTGGGGCTTCGTTTCAGAGGGGAAAAGCTGCAATGCGAAAGATACTGAGTGTGGATGCTGTGTGTGTAGTGTGACAGGAACGAATGTTCACAACAGAGCGGGGGTGTAGAAGAGCAGTTTAGTGATCCTTTGGCCTGGGATATATCTAGAAGAATCCATC